GAGAGAGAGAGAGAGAGAGAGAGAGAGAGAGAGAGAGAGAGAGAAAATAGCAGCCTTGGGAAAGCCTCATTCAGGGTGGAATCCCAGTGGAGAAAAAAAAGAGTTATGTTTTCATCATTTCCCTGCCATCAGGTGCAATTCTATTCCCACTTATCTAGGAATAAGCCCCACAGAATGCCATGGTGCTTACTTCAGAGTAGACATTTATAGGATTGAACTGCTACTCTTTCTTTTCTTTCCTTTTTTTTTGGAAGATTTTGAAGATTTATTCAGGATTTTGAATGAATTCCCCAATGCTTCTGTCTTCAGCTCTTCCAATTGTCCCATTTTGATTTGTTTCCACATCTCTGGTTGGACAGTTAGGAGAACATTGAGGTGGGAAAAGGCAAATTGGACAATTTTCTAAAATTCTCTATAAACACTTTTGACTGATTGCTATAGTGGACTTATAGTGGAATGATATACCTATTTAGCCAGGAAAGGAGTTCTGCAGTTCCTGAATTCCCCAGGCAGATTGTGCCTTTAATTATTTTCATTCTCTCACTTCCAAGGGGTGAAACAGGTGGCTATCAAATTTGGCATTCAGCCCAGTTTGTCTGTGGAAGAATGAAATATGTTGCTGACAGCTGGAGCAGAAGCAAACATTTACCAACATGTAACATTGTTCAAGGTTTATCACTCTAACTTTGAATGGAAATTTAACACCTGAGTTTTCAAGGTGAATATTTTTCTCAACACTTGGGATAGTCTTCAGAAAACCTGCCAGCCACTAAATGCTGTTTTGTACTAATCCGGCTGTTATAGCCAATTAAATGTAAAGTACAGTTGCAGATCAGCTGTCAAAAATCAAATATTTAAAAAGTTATCAAGAGTTAAAGTGAGACAGCCAACACACACACATACAGTGACTATCTAGCAAACATTAAAACTTTCCTAGGTAAGCTGGTGAATGTTCAACAGAATTGTAGCAGAGTATTTTTTGAGGAATATATTTTTTGAAACAAATAAATTTCAGCTGCATAGGAAATATGATTTGAAGTAAAATTTCATGTTGAGGTGATCATGTATTCATAATTCTTATAATCCCTCCACCCCATATTTCATTATTTTCTGTGGATTTTCATGTCACAAATCATGATCACTTTCCATTTTTAAGATGATTGAAATAAAATAATACACTTGGTTTACACAATTGTGGAAAGGTAGCCGTTAAAGCCAAAAACACTCAAGTGTCTATTGACACCTCAAAAGTCTAACACATTTATTGAGATGTAACATTTTGTAGTACACAAGACACATTTTCACAGACACATCCGGAGAAAAGAAGTCTATACATGGGATTGAGGATCTGTTTTCACTGATGGGAAGGACTTTTCTTGGGAGAACAAGCTGCAGCTGGGGAAGATTCCTTCACCCAGTTTAGATGGTTCCCTCCCTCCCACCTCCTACTCACCATGTTTGCCCCATTTAGCACAGTCTCCTTACTCTCTGCATTATCTTCATGAGGCTGAAGGGGCTCCTTTGGGAAGGAAGGGTTGCAGAAATCCACTTCCGCCAGCACAGTTGATTCAGGTAAAACCTGGGTCCGACCTATGATGTTTTCAGTGAAATATTTTTCAAATGCTTCTTTTCCAGATGTTTCTTATGAATGGAACAAAAAATGGAAACTATTTCCTTGGCCTGACCTGGCAACATTCCAAAGGACAGTGGAGATGGGTTGACAACACAAAGTTCAACCCTAACATGTAAGTTTATCACCACTCCGATCATTTATGATTTTCATAGAGTGATGTGGCAGCGGAAAAGCCAATGGAGGTGCTCCTAAATGCGGATTTTACCATGCTTGGTAAAAAGATGACCTATGACACAGCTCTGAGAAAGGACCTCTGCAGGTTTGGCACTCTGAAGACTTGCCCTGGCCTCTTGCTCTGGTCAACACAGTCCTGCAGAGGTCAAGCAGGAGTAACAGGATATGGTAGCAAGGAGGATGGGGAGCATGGGGGTAGTAGTGTGCTGCATTCCTGCCTTAGGGAATGGGAGAACTTTGGCTGGGGCTGTAAGCCAGCCAGCAAACTTTAGCCCTGATGTGGAAGCTAACTGGGACGTGCTATTCCTTCAACAGCACTCTGATGTGTGTGGCCAGGTGTCCAAGGCAGCATCTTGGCCACTGCATCCCATGCCTCCTGCATCTTCTGGACCAAGCACAAGGGTAGTCCCACACAAAGTGCACCACAGTAATCTGGACATGCATGGATTGCATCACATGGGCATCATTCACGAGTAGGCTGTCACAGGAGATCCTCACCACAGAAGTCTCTTGGACTTCTGATGACCCTGAGGCATCCAGGAGCACCATCAGACTGTAGTGCAACTCCCCAGCTCCTGCAGCCAGGAGACACTCACCTCGAGGGTCACCATCTTGCCAAGATTTAGTCTCAGTTTCTTGGCCCTCACCCATCCTATCACTGTAAATAGGAACCATTTCAGAAGATGCACAACATCTTTTGATTAGAGACCTACCGCTGGGTCACCACAGATCCCTTAATGACCGTTCTCTCTGGCTTCCTATAAAGAAGGGATGGAGAAAGTATAGTCTCCGTGCCCCATGCAACCCGCCGAGCCATTTCTAGTGGCCTGCCAGACCACCTTTGCATCAGTTGTCACAGCAACAGTTCTTGTTTCATGATTATTTCTGCTCTCATCTCCTGCAAGAAATTGGAGATAAGCAGCAGTTGCATCAGCGTGCCAGGGCAGGCAGAGGCTGCAACCTGCCCCATGCCCAGTGGCAGGCTGCTGAATCACTGCTAATCATGGGGATAATGCATTGAAGGAAGGAAGAAAGCTGCAGCTGGACAGCTAGAAGTGTTGCTTCCACGTGCTTAGGCCTCATTAAAAAATATTACCCCATATGGATTGAGTGTAAGGTGCACTGGATGCCTCACGTAATACTGCCCTAAGAGCCAAGTGATTTTATCCTTGAAGTGCATGCAAAATTGTCACAGGAGACCTCTTAGGGTTCCAATGTAAGATTAGCCAGCTAAGACAATAAACAAACTCTGGACTGCCTGGAAAAGCTTTGCTAGAAGGCCGCTGGAGGTTGCAATGGAAATAGTAAATGAAGCCTTGTTTGTTTGTTTGGCTGTCTTTAGTCCCAGACTATATTCAAGCATATCTGGTCAGCATCATGACACATTGTAGCCCACTTATGCTCTAGGCTAATTCTGGCCAATTTCTTCACTAGGGTATTTCATTATAATAATTGTATTCAGTGAGTTGCTGGCTTCCCTTAAAGATCTTGCTGTATTGTTATATGTATTCTTCCTTTGTGTTGCCTGTATCTGAAGCGTTGAATTTGGATAAAAATCCCAATTTAAAAAGAAAAGTCAGAGTATATTTCTGCCCAATCATTCATTGGTGCGATGGTTTCTTTCAGCCTCATTGCACATCACCCATGTAAGAAGCGGTGCTTACACTACTTTGCCAGGACCGTATGGTTACGAATACACCCAGTTGTGTTTATTTGCATAGCTGTTGAGTAAAAGTGACAAGTCCTATTTTTCATTTTTCCCTTCTTTCCTTACAGATTTAATATCCAACGCACAGCTTTTGACTGTGCCTTGATTGGATTTGATTCTTTGGGCGACAGGTCTTGCTCTGTACCAAGTCGCTGGATTTGTGAAGAGAATCTATAGGCGCTCTGTTATGAAGGGGAAGGTTGCAGCAATCTAGAATCAGGATTCTTCCTCCTCTAAGAAACTCCGGCCTTTGGGTAACCCTGGTGGGGCATTCACATTATTTGCATCCAAAGCTGCATTCAGCCAATGTAGAGTTGCCCAGCTGATCACTGCAGGGTTGTGGCTTCCTGTAAAATAGGGGATAGGAATTTGCACACCTTTGTCCTCCTCAGAGATTCTACTTATGCCAAGGGATCCTTCAAGTATCTCTCCCACTCATCTGTATTTAATACAGAAAAGAAAGTTGGGGAGAGGCATTTGCAATGCCAATAAGCATTTTGTCCCATGAATGTTTTAACATGTATGTGACAAACCACTGGAGGCAAGATGCTTAAAGTGTAAAAATTGACAATTATTAGGAGAATAACAATTAGGGCTGTGACCAGCTTAAAGAAATCTAAGTTTATTAATTGAAGGAGTTTCAGGGAGCAATCTTCAGCTCCCTGGGATGGCAGTGAGAGGCCATTGGATATGGGGTGGGGTAGGGGGGAGCCTGTACTTTTGAATGGCTAAGCTGTGGTCTTCTGAATTGCCAACTGAACCCATTTATTGCTTTGTACTTTGGAACTGACTAACCTTTTCCACATTCTGTACTTTTTGCCTGAATCCCTAATGAATAATTTACCCTGTTTTCACCAAGACCTCAAATGCATACTTTGGGGGTGAAAGTGGGAGAGGCTTGCTTAAGGACATAAAAGGGCTGCACAGAAGCCCAGTGCAAAAGTCCACATTGGGATCCTTGGCTAGTCTGTGGACACTGGGGGGCTGGAGAGACTGACCTGTTCTCAGTGGTGGCAGCCGGTCCCAGTGGGAACTGCTGCACCAGGGATGCCTCTGCAGCCAGGGTGCCCACAGGCCCCAGTCTCACATATGGGGATGCCCATAAGCCCCCAAGCTTGTGGGCATCCATGCAGAGCAGGAGCAGCAGGAAAGGGAATCTTCATCTCCCCTGTCCTCCCGCTCTGTATTTTGCTACAGGGTCATCTGGCATGGCTGCTTCCAAAAGAGGTCGAAGAGCCATCAGGATGCCACAAGTCCTGCCCTCTCTGAACTACCATTCCCCAACCCTTCTCCAAAGTCACTTTCCCAACTTCAGAGAGCATCTTGCGCAGCTTTTCCTGAGCAGGCCAGGTTAGCAGGTCAGGGTGCACCTTTTCCCAGTCTCTGACTTCAGAACTGGGTACTCAAACTGTCCTATGTTCCCCCCTCCCCCTGATGCCTAGGGGGTCATAAAATCATTCCTTCCATGGCTAGGGAAGTTTGCCTGACATATCCAACAGAAAGCAGTGAGTTAGCTGAAGTCGAAACATCCTTGGTATTCAGTTGCTTTCTTTGGGGACCTGAGGCAGGTAGTTGCTGGACTGTCCGTGGAAGGACTGTATTTACCTCCATTCTCCTCTGCTTCTATATTTGGGAGGAAAGGCAGAAAAATGGTCTACAACTCTCAGCATGACCCAACTAAACATGGCTGGGGCAGGCTAGGAGTTGTAGAAAAATTTCTGTCTAAGCCTGCATAAGACTATGCCCCAAAGCAGATATTACAAAAACATTATGGGCTGGATTCAGATTTAGGCAATTACAGCTTGATTGACAGAAGACAATGGACTTCCCTGCCACTTCCTCCCCAGAGCATCACCACATCCCCCAGAAATGCCACAGGAAGGGGTGGGGACATGCTGCATGAGGTAGGATATGGCTTCCAAAAGAGGCGATCCCAAAAAACTTACACAGGCACCTTAGACAGGGGAATTTTCCTGTCTGCAAAATGCAGATCCTGCATCCAACCTCAAAAGTCTGCAGTAACCTCATATCCAAAATAAACCAAATTTTTCAACACTGCTCTTGGGTCTTTTTGCTGCTTGGAAAACAGGGGCGGGCAGGCAATAACAGTAAGTTGCATTTCTTCTTGAGCCTGATGAAGCAATAAAACCACAATATCCACTTTCTCTAACCACTCTGACTTTATTTCGAGACATAAAGTTTTGTTCAGTTCTTAGCTCTAGGGGTAGGGGAACCCAACCTTCATTCTGCACCCCTCCTTTTCTTTTGGAACATTATCAAATAATGGCCAACAAAAGCACTCACTGTAGTGCTTGAAACTTACATTTACACACACAATTTTTGCATTAAATCTTTGCTTTCAAAGCCTTTCAAATTAGAATCTTGCAATACAAGTAATAAAGGAAACAAGCCAAGTTATAAGTAGCCATTAAGGAGATGCCACTGAAGGATTCCAAAATGAATCCTCCTTGTCCCTTCCAAACCAAAGAGTTGACTCCACCTTCAGGGTGGATCCTGCTGCTTATGGGACAATTGCCTGATGCTTCTCAGTCAGTCTGCTCTTTACCCTGATGCTGAACGATTGGACTAATGATGTTAGGTCCATCCCCACCCACATCAGCTTGTTCACTACACCTTCCCAGAAAGTCAGAGACTGTCTGGGTCTCAGAAACTGCTTGGCTTATCTCTGGGCCCACTGGCCTTGGTAAATGAATGGGAAATTCCAGCCCTGCCTCTTCCACTTTGAAGAAGGAACTGGCGCAAGCCCACAGCAGCCTCCACTGTCCTGCCAGTCAGGAAAGTGATGAACAGCCCCAGAGAGGAGGATTGGACTCGGGGCTGTACATAGATTCCATAGCACATCATTTGGAATCCATCCTACCTCCCATCCAGCAGCGGCTTCCCCAAGAAAGAGAGGGATCGGTCCTCCTTTTGTCCCTGAAGCGATCATGGGAAGGGAAGACTGGGCTCAATTTTTCAGTTATCAGTTTGCTGTGGGGAAAGGAGTGCAGGGGACAATATAAAAAGAGGGCTTTCACTCCCTCTCGGTGCCCACTAGTAAGAATGTCTTATGGCCCCAGCTTTTGCCGTGCGACACAGGATGGATAGACCTGACAATTTTAGTATTTTCCTGTTTCTCATTTTCCAGCCCTTAGTTCATTTTGTCTCATTAAGGCATCAGTCTGAATCTTTAAAAAGACACTTGTCCAGAAAAGATCTTCACATGCATTTTCATGTTTATTCTTCTAATACATGCATTTTTGTCAAGTATACACATATATTTTACAAACCACTTTCTCTTATATAACATTTTTTGCATGTTTTTGCTAACATGAATTTTTGTATGCAATTTTAGTTTGGAATATCATAGCACAAGGCTCCAAGATGAGTATTTGGAGAAGAATAACTGATTAATAACTAATAAGATACCTATTTAGAAATTATGACTTTGAAATGTTTGTGAACTAAATTCTTCCCAATCACTATGTAGGATGCATCAAATCGAGAATTAGCACAAAGTTTCTTCATGTGAAAAAATTACTCGACTGTTAGCTTCCTGAGGGAAGTGCTTCCTGCTTACATTATAAAGTGCCACGAATATTGGTTGGCAGCGTATTCTAGGAAATAGCAGCAACAAGTATAATAAATGGCAAACATTAGAAAAAGTCACAATCAAATTTTAAAATATTGTTTAACAATTAAGAATAATTGTCCTTTTTTTCTCCTGCCCCTTCTGTCCTTGTATCACTTTTTGTCCAAAGAATTAGCTAATCTGTTTCTCACAGATCCAGCGACTTTCTTTGTAGCATGATGCTGGGTGTACATCTCTTGCTCTAATTGTTGCACAGTCTTGTCCCATTTCCTTTTGTTTCTTAGTGAAGCTGTAAAAATAGAGCCACAGAACAGTGAGAAAGACTGAGTTTGCTACTATGAAAAATAATGAACAATGATAGGCTAATGGTGAAATCCTAGGCATACTAGAGAGGAAATGCAGGGAGCTCTGGGGCTTTCTCCTCCCTAAATATGCGTAGGATTGCACTGTAAGAATAAAATCCAGTGTAAGTTTAGGGGAGTAGAGCTGCTAAAATAAATGGTACTTCAGTCAGGAATGACTAGAGTCCCATTCATTTAGTCTTAGACAGGACTTGTTTTAGATTTTATACTAAGGCCCTGTTTGTTTGCCGGAGGGCTTTGTTAACAAACTGGTAGAGGAAGGAGATAATAGGTCAAAGCACCATGCCTCACCCATCCTGAATGAGCAGCTGTCAAGTCCCATTGCTGCTTACCCACACTCAGTTTGCCTCTTGGAAAGACACTTTGGGTACCAGAAGCCACTACGAATTGGACTACAGTTGAACCACTGGCCTCCAGTTGCTGAATTTTAACCCGAGAACACACGAGGGCAGTAATCTTCAACTTCTTCAGACAAGGGACATACCTTCAGTCCAAACATGCAACATGAAACTTTTTTATTTAATGTGTCTATTTTTCTTCTCCTACTGCCTCAGGGTTTCTCTACTTCCTTTTCTCTCTCTCTCTCTCTCTCTCTCTCTCTCTCTCCCCTACCCATTGCAAACTAAATTAATGTGTTGGTGTCTCTATTGCAATGGACCAGCAATGGACCAAGTTGACCAGTTAGGAGCAGACCAGCTTCAGATCCTGACCAGCCAGCAGAAGACCAGTGCTCTTGCACACTACAACACGCACAAGGAATATCTGACTATACTGGAATGGGTGTCTCATGAATCCTGTGGCTGGCAATAATAAAACTTATTAGAAACAAAAACTGAAATGCAGCAGTTCAAGAAGAACAGCAGCACCCAACCCAACAGATGAACTTCCATGCTAAAGCCCGGCTTGAATTAAAAAACAAAACAAAACTCTTTGCCTGCTGATAAAAGGACAGCAGAAAGAAACTGCCAACCTAGCCTCCTTTGCCAGGGAGTTCCAATTTTGGCCACGCTCCTGCCACTTGGTCTCCGTACCAGCTCTCATGTCTCTCTAGAACCACGGACCAAATGTTCACATCACTGCCAGTGCAGGGAGGGACACTTAGAAGCAACCAGCTGCAAAAGCGGATGAGGCTTCTCCATCACATGTCTCCCCCAGTGGTTCTTCCTAATCAGAGACAGTCCTGCTTTTGCTATCCATTTCTGGTAAATCTCTGCCCCTATTTTCTCCCTCCTTCAAGCTGCCTTTCTAGTGTTTTGCTATTGTAAGCAACTAGCATTGTCATTCTTCAGATTCCAGTGTCTCCTGCATTTCTGTTGGAGTTAAAATTTCTGAACAGGAAAGAGCAAGCACACAGAACATCTGATATATTTGGCAAATAGCCATCATTTGGTGGTAGAACATGCAACAAGTCCCCTGTTCAGTCCCTGGCATTCTGTATTTTCACAAAGGAATGGGTAGCAGGGGAGGGGAAAGACCCTTTGCTGCCTGAGCCCTTGCACAGCTTCTGGCAGTCAAGCATATAATGTACAGCTGGATGGGTCAAGGCTGTAACTCCATATAAGGCAGTTTCTTATGCTGCCATTAATATGATTCATGCTGAGCTCTCCAAACCAGTAATGTATTTTCCAGGGCTGTTGCATCTGTCCAGCTGATTGTTAAGCAAGGGAAGAAACAAATTGTGTTCACATGTGTACAAGGCAAGGCTGTCAGCAAACGATTGTTGCAAATGGCAAGCAGGAAGGAGCTTCTCCTCACAGATGATAAGTGAAGGGGTTTGGGTAGAGACCCTTGCTGTGACCGCTGGGTGTATCCTGCTTCTCATCTGTGAGATAGTGGAGGGCAGAACGATTGTTAAGAGCAAGGCAGAAGAACTGGGCAGACACTGAGATGCAGGCACAAGAAATGCGGCATTGTTGCCTTTCTCTCATCTTATACTAAACCAGAGTGAGCAGCTTTTCAAGTCTGTGGGCACAGTTGGAAACTTTGAGAACTGACCTGGGAACGACCATAAAACAGCTGCCAGGGATGCACATAGTGACTCACCAAGGAACAGTAACCTGCTCACAAGAGCAACTACGCTGACAGCAACCAAGGGTTTCCACTTTGCTTTGAAACAAACATAGCAACCAATAAGAAGGCATCAATCTATTTTTAAACTAAAAATGGAGAGGAATGGCATGTCTTGGTGGGCACCAGGAAAGAACCCTTGCAGTGCCCCAGAGCCCAAGGGCAACACCTGACCTATCTCTGTGCTAACTGTAGAAAAGGTCCTCTCCTTCTTGTCTTCTGGGAGCCCCAGGTAATCACTCTCCCAAAGATACATCCACACTATGTGCAACAGAAGGTATTGTGGTCAATTGCTCTTCCATGCCTGCACAGAAGATTCCCCATGTAAGATGCAGTCCATCAGCTTCAAGGACAGACATACTTGAGGAAACTGATCTTTGCTTACTTTGATGTGAAACAACCTGTTAGTCACCTATTGGACTAACATGTGGATTCAAACATAAATATACTTTTATTTCACATTTCTCTAAATCTTGCAGGGCAATTCCTGCCTTAAACCCTCCCCCACTCTAACACCACACCAGACTAGTTTCAAATGCACACTGTATGTTAAAATACATTTTAAATACTTTGAGATAAATGTGTGTGAGTGTATGTGCATGTTTGAAAAAATACATACTTATTTTGTAATTTTTAAAAAAAATCAGGTCCAGAGTGTGGACTTATGGCTTATATGGCATCCATAATGTTGGAGTTAAGCAGGTGTGGGGCTGGCCTGGGCTTGGAGGGAGACCACCTGGAAGCTGCATGTAGCTAACTTGAGCTCCACAACAGGAGAAAGATGGGATATAAATTGTTGCTGTTGTTAGTCGTGAAGTCGTGTCCAACCCATCACAACCCCATGGACAACATTCCTCCAGGCCTTCCTGTCCTCCACCATCCCCTGGAGTCCACTCAAGCTCACACCGACTGCTTCAGTGACTCCATCCAGCCACCTCATTCTGTGCCTCCCCTTCTTCTTTTGCCATCTATTGTTCCCAGCATTAGGCTCTTCTCCAGAGAGTCCTTCCGTCTCATTAGGTGGTCAAAGTATTTGAGTTTCATCTTCAGTATCTGGCCTTCTAAAGAGCACTCAGGGTTGATCTCCTCTAGGACTGACGGTTTGATCGCCTTGCGGTGCAAGGGACTCACAGGAGTCTCCTCCAGCACCACAATATATTGTATTTATATTCATGTATATAAATATGTATTTATATAATACATTTTAGATTTTATAAACAATGTGCATGTGAATGAAATTGGGCAGAACAGAACGGCACACGTGAAACTGACACAGACAGAAAATTATGCTGAACTGCCCATCAGAGAAGTAAAAGAGAAGATGAAACATACAGGTTCCAGCTAGGTTCTGTGCCATCAGTCCACCGCCATTTCTTGTTGTTCTCTGAATATGTCAGCCCAATGAAATAATCAGCCGCTGTTGCTTTATTAACAATAAACTCCTGGCAAGAAAAGCAAATGGCACCAATCAGAGGGCAGAGAAAATCACGAATGCCTAGGGATGCCAGTTCAAAATGAGCAGTTCCTGTGCTTTTATCCTGTTCAAGAGAGTCATGTGCCATACTGGACTGAAGGCACACCTGTCAAAAATCCCTCCTCTGTTGAAGTTTAACAGCTAAAGCGGCACGCATCTTGTTCCACTTTTACTCCTGGCCTCTTAAATAAGCATGGTAAAAAGAACATGGATGTAGCAAACCCAGCTTTCCCCATCACACTAGATACAGAATTGGCATTTTTTCAGAGCAGACTTCACAGAATAGTGTTTCAAGGACAATGAAAAGGCACCAGTTTTATTTCCACCACACTTAAAATGTTGATTCTGTCTTCACCTGCAGTAAGAAGCCTTTTCTTCCCCTTTCTGTGGGATGTCTTTTAAGAGGTGGTTCAGGCCCTAGCGTTGCTGATATTTTATTTCCTCTGTTCTTCTGCTTTTGAGGGCTCAATCGTATGCATGCTTAGACAGAAAAAGTTCTCCAATTCCCAAAGAGGGGCTTGACCTGCAGCCATTGACTATAATACTTGTCAGAAACTCCAAATAAAACCTAAATGAATTAACAAGGATTGCTTCTCTCACCAAAAGCTGTCTAATTTCTACAGACTGCATTGCTTCTAACAGCACAAAGCAAGACTTAGCCTTGACCCCTGCGACTGACCCCATTCCTCTATACTGCCCAGATCCTGCATTAGAGCATTATGAAATTATAATGGTAACATCTGAGATTTCTCCCATACAATATCAAGTATATGTAAAAAATTAAAACCAGCTAAGAGCAGCAAGGTCATTAGGTTGCAGATCATAATATATGCCATGAGTAGATGAATTGCCTCAATTTCAAGCTGTAATCCTGCACAAAATTAGGTTGCTTAATGGCATTGATTTTGATGCTGTTTTAAGCAATTTTACAGGATTGCAGCCTTACGTTGCTTTCCTCTGGACATTTTTCTCATTCCTCTTGATGAACCTCTCTCCTCTACCTCTTGGTTTTCTATGCCCCTGCTGCATTTCCTCCGCATGGGTCACAAATACTGCATGCCTGTTCAACGTTGCCTTAGATGGTTAAGTCTTAACAGAGACACCATTAAGCATGCTTATCTGCTCCAAAGAGAACATATGAATTGCTAGTGTAAACCTTACAGCTATGCATGCTTTGAACCTTTTCCTAGGATCTCCAGGGTAACAGGACTGTGGCAGGATTACTCATAGACAGGATGTTCTAAAGATGCTTAGGCCAGTTCTTCTGGATGATTAAACACATGCTTCATAAGGGTGCCACGTTTTCTCCTCAAGGGGGCCTCAACCTTACCAGTTCTGCTTTGTCATTGATGGTCACCAGGTTTGAGTTCCATTCTATGCATTCCATTTGGCTGTTGAACCATACATCTGGCACTTCAGAAAACCAGTACTCACTCCCTCTGAATCCTTCCCACCTTGGAACAGGCCTAGAAACTGGGGCTGCAGCAGGATACAGGGAGATAATGGCGCACATAAGGACCCAGGTCATCATCTGAAGTTCATCTTGCAGCTTGCCCTAACCACCCACCACCTGCAGAAGAAGGGCCAATTTCAAATGTGTGTGCATGTTGGAAAAAGCCAGGGAGGGAAGTTAAGTTTTGTAAGATGGAGACAAGATTTACAGCAAGGTTCAGATCCTCAGTTAACTATATTCAAGACTACTGAAGAATATTTGATGTTATGTATGTTATATACTGGATAACAGCCAAAGATACAGAACTGTTTCCTCGTGGGTGTTGTCCCTGCTGGCCATCCATGTGTTCAATGAACACATGAAATGGGGCGAGAGGCCACACCCTCCAGCCCCACTCCTCCCTCCTGTGATACGTGAGGAAGGGATTCTTCCACATAACCGTATGCACAATTGCCATTCCACCAATCTGTTGAAAACCTCATTGCCCCAAGATTCCCAATCAGGTGCAGAAGCCTATTTGAATACGGCTGTACACTGCTTTTACACTCAACACATGGGTGTCAAGGGTGAGATTGGCAGGTGCACTAGTATCTTGGGGAGGCCAAGCAGTTTGGTTTCTTCTTGCCTTCACTCCACATATGGCAGGGGAGAAATGACTAACAGTCCATCCATACTCCTGAGCAACAAATGTATGTGCTTTAAGGAGGGAAGGGGAGGAATGACTTTCGCTCGGTGGTGGATCTTAATGGTGTTCATCATCTGGTTACAGACACAAGTACATCCACTTAATTCAAAAGAATGGCAAGCTGTGGAAAATTCATTCCTGACATCACAAAAAGGAAGAAAAGCTTGCAGAGAAAACTTGCCAGATTATTTGGGATACCAGATATAGCTTGGAGAATAGTACTGCTGTGTGTCTGTGTGGTTTGCATATTTTCTATCTGCTCAACCTGTACATTTGCATGTATCAGGAAGAGCACCACAAATCTCCAGTACCTTCTCATTGCAAGAAAACAATTCTTGAGCAACTCATGTGTTAGTCTAACAGCTCAATAAAATAGATACAATTGGCTTTTTGTTCCCAATTTTGTGATATCAAAGACCAAATTATATTTCTTATTTAGTAATTTGTTACCTTTGAATGTGGTTTTAATTCCGGCTCTTGGAGAAACCGTAGATGTAACTTCAGGCAGGATTTGAGTAGTCTGCAACACTAAAAAGTAATATAGTTTTGGCCTCTATTATCTACTCTGAACAGCTTTACTATAGCAGGCTGGAGAAAATGCTAATCAAATCAGTTTAAGAATATAAGAGTCATGCTAAAGTAGACCAAATCTAGATAGGCATTCTGTTCACCTTGTGGCAAAAGCAACCTCCCATACATTTTTCCCAGCGGCTGGTATATTATCACGAATAGTGGAGGTAGAATATGGTTATCACAACTAGTAGCTACTGATAGCCATATACTGATAGTTTGATTTCCAGGAGCACTATGCTCATTATTATTCCATTTGGGGCTGAAAATAGTAATTTTGGTGGGCATTTTCTAAAACTCATTGGTTTGAATCCAGATATTTAGCTGTACTTTCTTCCCAGTGAAATCACAGCTAACATTTCACATGGATTTCAATGGCTGTAACTCTAGCTACCTTAGTTTGAGCCACATGATTGTACAAGTATTCCCATCCATACTATTTTACTTGGTCAGTGCCATTTTTCTTTGACTGCTTGTGGTTCAGCAGTATTTTTCCCACATATTGGTGCTTCTCTCCATAGGAATCACTTGGTTGGGCTAAAGTATGATGTCAATAAGGATGAAAGAGGGAAATGCTTCCTGGTTTAATAGCATGGGTGGGGCTATCCAATCAGGGATCACATAGTTAACAGAACAATATTCTTATGCTAAGTAGTCTTAAAGCCCCCTTCATGGATCACTGCCTTGCCTTGGCAGCTTGTGTAGCTCAATGAAGCTATGAGCTATGCCATGCAGGGGCACCCAAGACGGTCAGGTCATGGCAGTGAGCTCTGACAGAAGGTGATCCACTGGAGGAGGACATGGCAACCCACTCCAGTACCCTTGCCATGAAAACCCCATGGACAGTATCAAAAGGCAAAGAGATATGATGCCGAAAGATGAGCCCCTCAAGTCGGAAGGTGTCCAATGTGCTACTGGGGAAGAGCAGAGGGCTAGTACTAGTAGCAGCAGCAAGAATGAAGCGACTGGGTCAAAGCTGAAAGGACACTCAGTTGTCGATGTATCTGGTGGTGAAAGGAGAGTCCTCGGCTGCAAAGATCTATACTCCATAGGAACCTGGAATGTAAGATCCATGAATCAAGGCAAGCTGGACGTGGTCAAACATGAGATGACAGGACTGAACATTGACATCTTAGGAATCAGTGAACTAAAATGGACAGGAATGGATGAATTTAATTCAGATGACCATCATGTAGACTACTGCAGGCAAGAATCCCTCAGAAGAAATGGAGTAGCCCTCATAGTCAATAAAAAAGTAGGAAAAGCAGTACTGGGATACAATCTCCAAAATGACAGAATGATCTCAGTTCAAATCCAAGGCAAACCATTCAACACCACAGTAGTCCAAGTCTATGTCCCAACCACTGATGCTGAAGAGGCGGAAGTTGACCGGTTCTATGAAAGCCTACAACACCTTCTAGAAATAACACCAAAAAATGATGTCCTTATCATCATGGGGGATTGGAATGCCAAAAGATAACCGGAATAACAGGCAAGTTTGGCCTTGAAGTACAAAATGAAGCAGGGCACAGGCTGGTAGAATTTTGTCAAGAAAATACAATGGTCATAGCAAACACTCTTTTCCAACAACCCAAGAGACGACTCTACACATGGACATCACCAGATGGTCAACACAGAAATCAGACTGACTATAGAGAAGCTCTATACAGTCAGTAAAAAAAAGACCAGGAGCTGACTGTTGCAAAATTTAGGCTTAAACTGAATATACAGTATGTATGTATGTATGTATGTACGTATTTAGAAAATTTGTAGGCCGTCCTACAAAAGATGAAAATTTGTCATCTCTGGATGACTTACATTATTTCAATAGAGGTGACAAATAGATTTAAGGAATTAGATCTGATAGAGTGCCTGCAGAACTGTGGACGGAGGTAGCAACTAAAACAAAGAAAAAGAAATGCAAGAAAGCAAAATGGCTATCTGAGGAAGCTTTACAAATAGCTGAGGAAAGAAGAGAAGTGAAAAGCAAGGGAGAAAGGGAAAGATACACCCAATGGAATGCAGAATTCCAGAGAATAGCTAGGAGAGATAAGAAGGCCTTCTTAAAGGAACAGTGTAAAGAAATAGAAGAAAACAATATAATAGTAAAGACAAGAGATATCTCTTCAAGAAAACTGGAGATATGAAGGGAACATTTCATGCCAAAATGGACAAAAATGGCAGGGGCCTAACAAAGGCAGAAGAGATTAAGAAGAGGTGGCAAGATTACACAGAAGAACTGTACAAGAAAGATCTTAACGTCCCTGATAACCACAATGTGGAGGAGACAGTATGAGGTGGATAGATGGAGTTACTGAAGCAGTCGGTGTGAGCTTAGCTGGACTCTGAGGGATGGTGGAGGACAGGAGAGCCTGGAAGAATGTCATTCATGGCATTGCGATGGGTTGGGCACGGCTTTGTGACTAACATAACATGTAAGTCTTAAAGCATACTGAAAAGCTGTTAGGCATTTTTCAAAATGGGAAGTGTTTCAGCTCAGTGGTAAATAATACGGTTTCCTTTCAAACCTCCCTCCCCCCCCCAAGCGCACACACGCGCACACGCACACACTTATGTAATTTGCCAAGTTCCCCAGACTTGCCTGTGAAATTCTTCTCAGGAATGAAGCTGATATTCCCCCTGGGAAAGATTTGTGGAACTGAAAACAAATGTATTTTGAATGACTTCTGATAAACATTCTTTAGTCTTGCAAAAATACAGTACAATTAAAAGCAATAGCTTTGTCATTGCCCTTCATGTTATCTAAGAGAGCTCACTTGGCACATTAGCTAAAAGAAAAGGGAAGTCCCTAGTTTAAATCTCAGTGCTGTCAAAGAAATCTTATAGGCATGTCTACTCACAGGTAACCCCCACTGAGTTCAGTGGGACATATTCTCAGATAAGTGTTTATATGGGATTACAGGCAACCTATGGCAAGTTGCCTTAGCTGAGTTGCTTTATTAAATAATCTTAACGATCTACTTCAAAGTGATGTCGCAAGAGACGACTGCAATAATGTGCATAAAGCACTACTTCAACCTATATTGGTGATGTGAAACAGGTACTTTGAATATTGTGTGCATATGTGTAAGCATGCACGTGCGCACATGTGTACACACACACAATTAGTAATACTTTCAAGACTTCAGAGTATCTCTGTTACATTGTGTCTATATTTTGTGGATTGGTCCCGCCTCTTTTTTTTCTGAATGCATGTGAGTGGTTCTGTTTTTGTATTCTTGGTTTTTTTTTTTTTTTTTTGCTGATGTTTGGTTTTGTTGGGAGACTGTGAAAGCTACATTTTTAAAAAGAGAAAAAAGAAAAGCATTATATAAACCCTATGTACAATGTTATTATTTGCAGTCTTACACATTGAGGCATGAGAAACATGAGACTAGACATGTTTACAAACCAGTGGAATAGAAAGCTTCAGTGTCTATGAACTATGGTTTTCATTTCTCAAGACATAAGATACATATTTCAAGACCAAAAGACCCCCATGTCTTGTACACCCATATACACACACACACAAGGAAAAAAGGAACATATTTTGAATACAGAGAAATTCAAGGCAACACTGAAACTTGGCATTAAACAGCAACAAATACTCACTGAAAATAAGAAATAGGAACATCCCTGTAAACTTGACCAATATGAGGATTATTCCAGGAGCTGCCCATTGCCACATCATGCTGGCTAATCTAAAAGCAGGCAGTAGGACTTCACTAGTAATGAATGGCCACGATCCAAAATATCTTGTGCCACATGTAATAGTAGGCTAATTGTTCAGCACTGCATACAAAATCTGATTAAATCAAAAGACAGTTGTGCATAAAATCAAGCCCCACTGAAACCATAATTACAGATAATTTAAAATTTGTGTCAACATTTTTAATAAATTTACTAGGTTGTATACCTCCCAGAACCAAATATAAACCCATACATTTCAAAGCTTAAGAAGCATGTCATGAGAAAACCAAAAATGCATCAGTTAACATGCACACATTTGAAAAAGTACAACTCCCCACATGGATTCTAAAATGCACACAAACACATCTCAGTCAATGGGTGCATGTGTACAACAATACACAGGGGAAATGTGGATAGAATATGTACAAATCTGTGCAAAAAAGCAAGATATAAACCCATATGGAACCATGATGGCACAAGCTTAGCAGCAATTAATGAGAACCTTGATGAGATTGAGTTCAACTAGTCTGCCCAACCCTAGAGAGTATAACCTTTTTCCCAGTGATGTCAATAAATATCATGATAAGCATGAATAAACACAACTGGATTAGAGAAAAGGATCCTTCCTGCACCTCAGCACAGGGGCACTTTCATCAAGATGAGGAGGAGGAGGAGGAGAAAGCAAAGGGTTACTTAATGCCTGGGCCCATTTCCACCCACCCATTAATTCTACTATAATTGTATCCCGTTGTTGTATATAATGTACATGCACAATAAACCAAGTGAATACAAAGAAGTTTTATATTTCTCAAAATCTCATCACTGTATCTAATGGAGGGCAGAATTCAGCCCCTAAGCCTGTGGTTCCTAACCTCCCAGATATAAAGACCACCAGTATTACAGAGCCAATTGTACACTCTGCCTATGCATTCAAAATATGTGGCCAAGAGAACAGAGGCAGCAGAAGGAGGGAGCTTGAGCACCATCCTTATGATAGCTGGAAAAAGAATGTGAAGGCTTGGAGAAGGTAACTTCCTCCAGCATCACCCTATCTTCTGGGAGCAGGGTGCCTCATGGAGCAAGCTAACAATACTGCTGCAATCTGTCTCCCCCTCCATCTGAGCTCTTAGACCTGATCACCTAGTTGTAGCCAGTGTAATAATTCTTTGTATCTGTAATTCTTTGTCAAAATGTATGAATGTGGGATGCACTTTTTACCTTTTATCATTGTATTCAATAGACACAGCATTTCTCAACTTTTTTCTCATAATAAAGTTTCACCAGGTTTTGAATATTGAGCCATCTTTGTAATATGGGTTTTCATTCATAGACCCTTACAAGTGTTTGCAAAAATTTCGCTCCATATTTAGTGGGATTTACTTTCAGTTAAGCATACACAGAATTACCTGACCGTAAGCCCCAATACATTTTTACATCTCACATTTGAGTAAGCATGTGTAGGCTGACCCTGTTATTGCTTTGTTGCCATTTCTTGACAGGCATCAAACACCAAGGCATCCTCATAATCAATCAACTTCAGTGCTCTTGAGTGATGCCCAGTAATGCCTTTAAGCCACCCAGAAGCACCAAGTATGCAGTATTTGCTGCCAAACACTTCTTACCACTACAATCAGATGTACAATTCTAATCTCAGTATTTGGCGGAAATTCATGTACTTGGAAAGATCTAGAGCAGGGGTCCTCAAACTTTTTACACAGGGGGCCAATTCACTGTCCCTCAGACTGTTGGGGGGCCGGATTATAGTTAGGAAAATTAAAATTAAAATTAATTTAAAAATTAATTAAAATTAAAATTAATTTAAAAATTTAAAAGTTAAAAGTTAATTAAAATCAAAAATTAATTAAAAATTAAAAATGCTCCTTTCACTCGGGCTGCAGCAGAAGTCCAAGATGACGCCGTGCTGCCCACTGAAAATGCTATATGTGAACATCTCCACCTGGGTTGGAGCTATTTAAAAAGGGTTTGAAAAGTGGGGTAAGGACATTATACAGGTATATAGATTCTATATGGCTGTATAGTTTTCTGGCAAAAACACTTAATTCCACTTTAAAACTGGAGTTTTATCTGTCACAGCGACTTCCATTTTTACATGTTTCCAAAGTGTCAGAATCTTGGAAACAAATGAAAAAGTGAAGATAATCCTTTGGACATAAGTCCCCCCCCCCCAAATAATTGCCAGAATGGGGGTGAATTACCCTCTTTTCGTAAGATCATTCATGCCTTTCATTACTGCTAACAAATCACCTTTTGCCCCTCCTTAGATGGAACCAAAGGAGAAAATAAATATACCTGAAGCCTCTATGAGGCAATGCCTAGGATAGGTACCTACAGGACTTGACCAGAAGACATCCTTAGCACATTACAAGCACAGCCAATCCTTCTATTAGAGATTGTGCTGCTGTTGAAACAGGGATCATAAAAGCCAGCTTGGCAGCTGGCTTTCAGCATCTCCAGGGAAAAACAGTTTCAATTACAAATAAGCTGCAGCAATCTGAAAATGATCACAGCAGGGATGAGAAGTCAATAGCAGCTGTTCCCAGGTGCTGGTTGGGCAATTTGGAAGCAACTGGCACAGGTGGGTGCTTGGACAGGCTGGCCAAGAGATGGGTTGGTTGCCCAGGACCAGACTGCAGAATAACCCAACCAGAACCTGAGGAACAAGCCATGGTTTTCTGCTCCCACACAGGTCATCCTGTGGGACCCTTATAATATTCAGAATCTAGCCACATTTTTTTTTAAAGTGGAAATAGATAAACAGCAATTTTTACTTATCAGAAAGACTCTGTAGTGATGTGAAAGCTTGCCGGTTCAGTGCCTCAGCAGAAGAAAAAAGCACATTTGATCTTCTTTCCTTTCCTCATATCCTGTGGTTCCTCTTTTCTTCTCTGCTGTGTGGTAGCAGGGAGACGTTTTTCTCCGTTCTTATTTTTAGTAGGCACCTACTAAGCAGTAGCAGGGGATGATGCTGCTGCTTCTCCTTCTGTGTCAACATGCTGACATTATGCTTCATAGTTCCTCTTATGAAACATTTCTTCTCATGGCTTTCTATTAAGCAAGAGTTTTGGAAATCAGACTGCGCTCTTCACTGTCACCACTATGACTATCCCCACCATTCAGAGTGTGCATATCAGCACCAAGCCTGCAACCCTGTGCCAACTTAGCTGAGTGTAAGCCCCCTGAATTCAGGGGGACTTAACGTCTGAGCAGATAATATCCTGATGCAAGAGCTGCTCCTGGTTGCCCATTGTTGCACCTTCTTCAGTGCTACAATATCTTTTTTATGTGTTGTGACCAGCAATGTACACAGTATGCTGAGTGTACAATAGTGGCACTAACTGTGGTGTACATTATTGGCATTTTGATTTTCCAGCTGCCACCACCGAGAGTAAAACAAACCCAGTACCTCAGCCCTTTGGTGACAACCAACCAAAGGTCTCACGGAGTTCTTTGTGTTGGGCATCTTTGCAGCCTTCCTATGTCCTTAAAAGAGACCAGCTAGATTGTACGTTGCTGCTCAGTCCAATCCAAATTTTCACTTTGGTTCCACCAGTATAAAAACATAGAGGTTTTTCCCAGTACTTGGCTAACATTACCAGTGCCCCATTGAGAAAGGCTTTGACATCTCTGCGCCTGCAGACAATGGCCTCTGCATATCTTGAAGGGAGATATCTTAAGTTCCCTGGTGAGCAATGCCTCTGCTCTGTTGGTCAGGTGGAGGACAGTACTCATTACATCCTCCACTGCCCCATTTACAATGAGATTAGGACCAAATTATTAAAGGTAGAATCACTTAAGGGTTCAGATCTTGAAAAACTATTCCACCTTCTTGCAGACGTGTTCCCAACTGTCAGCAATCAAGTTGCCATCTCTGCCTTGCTCTCATTTAAATTCAGAAATGTTTAAGTTCTTAGTTGTAGTACTGGCCCTACTTTGTTATAACCTTTGATTTTCAACTTTTACTATTTTATTTTATAATCTTTTTACATCACTGATTTATTATTACTATTTTATGGCATTTTTATGTTGTGTTATGACCTATGGTTACAACAATAAGCTTATATTTAATATTTTGTTGCTACTCCAGGCAAGTCATAACAGCTGCTCAGAGCACCTTCCTACTGGCCATTGGTTGCAGGGATCATAAACTGGCCAATACCATTAATTGATGTAAATAAAATGTGAACTTGGCCACTGTTGGCCCAGTTTCCCCAGTGAGGAGAATTGACTGTTCTGTGGTTTCAAAATGGCTGCAACTTGGCTCAAGCAAAGGCATGGAATAATATTCTATGAAATGAAGTAGTTAAATCTGGAAGAGTCTACCTAGGGGCACACAGTACTGATTTCCCTTCAGTAAATTTTCTATAGATGGTCAGTATTCAGCAGTATTTAGATGTTCAGCTGCACATATAGTAAATCCTGCAGAGGCAGAATCACAGCTTCAGGCCCCATGTCTGCAAACATCTCAGTCCTCAACCACATCTACAATTCCCATGTGTGGAAATAGGCTTGTGCCTGGCAGGGGTGGGATTTGCAGACTCAATCCCTCTTTCCCTGCCATTGAGATATTTGAACAGGGTGTTTATAAGTTATTGTATTAAATGTGTTACTTCCTGCCACAAGAAGCAACCTCAAAGCAACTCATATACAAATATGCAAAATGTATAATTAATATATCAGAAAAAATAAACCATACTCAGCACAATAGAAATAAGAACACATGGGTTGAATCCAGATTAAATCTGACTTATTCTGTATTAGTGAAAGTGAACTTTCTGGCTCCCTCTGACTTACAACAGCCTCTCTAGACCCTTGAAAGTTCTCCACAGAGAGTCTAGAAAGGGTCTGATCAATAGGGTATGCTGTACTCTGAGGAAGAAGGGAGAATCCTCCCAAAATTGAGTGGAGGGACCTTTCACAGGCAGAGTCCGTCCTGTTGCTGAAGTTTTCTTCCCCTCACAGAAGGAAATCCTGGATTCAACTCCTAAGAAACCATAACCTAGAAGCATAGAATATTAGAAGTGTTCATGCCCACTATTCAGCTCTTTCCACTCCTAACACCACTAAAGAAGCCCATGTCAGTTGGGTCATACCCACCATCCAAATGCCTGAGGAAATAAGTACGACTGTGTCTAACACTGAAAAGATGGCAGCGTTCATGCTAGGTGAGCTTCCTTAGGAAGCTGATGCCACAACTATGGGGTGCCACAGCAATGGCCCATTCCCATACTGTCATCCTGGTTTTTCCCCTCTGACGCTTGCCTTAGAGACCAGGTCAGTTCATAGGAGGAGAGACAGTTCTTGGGCTTACAAGGTCCCAAGCTATGTAGGGCTTTAGAGATAAAACCAGCACTTTGAAGCTGGCCATCAACCCCTTGTGGATGCACCAATAAAGGCAAGCCAGGAGATCCTAGACGGCACTTGCATGTGCATATGGTAACACGTGCAAAGCCAATAATATTCACAGAGACCAAGGGCTGGCACTGGGGATCTCCAACTTTCTACCCCCATGGCCTGCTTGAAAATGCCTGAGGCTCACTCACCACAACCTCCCTTCCCTGCTTCCATAAATATGCATGAGATAAGGGGGCTACCACTGGCATGTGAAAGCACTTTACAACCCTTAAGGAAACATGAAGCAAAGGGAGAGAGGGCAGCTGACACAGCATGAGAGTAGCAAGTCCAAATTCCATCCATGCTGCAGGAAGGGGCAAGGAGGGCAATTGACCCCCTGGGGGTGAACCATGTCAGAGAAATGGTCAAACCTCTCTCTCACTTCAAAGCGAGATGGCAAGAGATTCAGCCAGTAATTCTCCAGTTTGATTGGAGTTACATAAAATAGTCACTGTTTGCGGTATTATCACTCTGCAAAGAGCTGTCTTCTCCCACAGCCATACTCTTCAGATTCCCAGCTTCCATTCACAAAAAGAAGAAAGCAAGTCTCTAAGCTCTTACTGAAGCCAAGATAACAAGGCAAAACATGCAGACGACTAAGTCCCTCTATTCAGTTCGTGGAAAATTAGTCTGCTGCAGACTTTTCATGTTTTAGCTAATCAATGAAGTAGTAGTTAACACACCCACTATCTTGGCATGTTGTCCTATCTGGACATGTTAAGTCTTTCTATAGTCTTCCCTGTTAATAGTGTTGCAAAAATCACTTCTTAAAAAAAAACAAAAACCCAGGACCTTCCTGGCAGACTGAGCACTATGAGTCACAAGACACAGGACAGAATGTTTTACAAAAACTTATCTCCCACATCCTGAAAAGTCATTTTGCACACAATGATTCCCCTCCTAGCCACTTTCATATAACCATTTTCCAAACTGTTGCAGTAAATGGTACTGAAATCCAATATACTCATTCTATCCATTCTGAAAGCCCAATTATTCCTGAAATATGTTCTTTTTTGATTTAGCGTAGTTAAAACAAGCAAAAAGAGAAAGAATATAAAGCACCTTATAAAAATATAACATGAAATTAAAAAGACACGCATGCAATAGCTGGCTTGGCCTTCTAACTACTGCAGTCCCTTTAAAGCAATGTGCTGGTGGAAGACTCGGTTCTGATTGTTGCAGATCTAACAGCAGTTGCTTCTTTAACACTTGTTTCTTTTGATAGGCAGAGGGTGTATGCCCCTTAACAGCTGTATCATAGATAGAAATCAGCAAGGGAAGTTTCTCTCAGAAAGGACAGGCACTGATGGAACAAGGTCACCTGCTGACACCTTCCTCCACCTTCATCTGTTAAATGCACACACACTCTCTACATTAAAAAAAAAAAAGACCAGCTGCAAATGTTTCCCAGCCTTCCACAAGCCTGCCAGCTCAGTTTCATGGCTAGTTTCCTGCAGTGAAGCTTTTTCCATGTCTTATGTTGATAATAGCACATGGTGCACCTGTTGAATGTCTACCTTTAAAGAGGCCTGTCAATGAGGAGTTGGTAATCCTGTAGTGGATTCTTGTGCACACACTTCCCTGAGATGCAGGGAATGTGGCACATCCTCCATCCTGGGGGAGGGGAAGCAGTGTATGTACAATGTGCATGTAAATTCCCTGAATACTTCCCAGAGATAAACCTACTTTTGCTCAAATGAAGAAAGTAAGAATTGATCTGGGGCTGCCTCCAGCCATCATCAGGTCATGCTAATAAATTTTATAAGTATATCAGTTGCATGATAACAAGACCATCAGCATCTTTTGGCCATGCCAAAGCCATCTTTTAAGACTGGGACAGGGATATTATGAGAAAACAAAAACAACCCCCCCCAAACCTAAGTGATGGGCAGGGGTTACCAACTCTTGCTGTGCTACTGCAGATTTAAAGACAACATTGGCACAAGAAAAGGGGATTCATATTTGTGACCACAGAAAACAGTGAAAGTTTTTTTCAAGAAAAAAAAAAGACCTGGACTACAGGGGAGACTGGACCAGGGCAGGTATCCCCATGATGCTCATGTCTATGTAGGAGGAGACCTACTGCCAACTCTCTGCTGAGATTCCCTCCAACACAGAGCCAGCTCTGAATTCATGCTTTAGCTCACACCCAATTAAAATTACAAAAACCCTTCTGGTTAGCATTGCCAGAAGGTAACACTGGTGGAACATCTGTAGACATGAAGAATGTGGCTTGCCACGACCAAACATAAAGTGATTCTTCCTTTTCTCTATCTTAAGGGCCTGAGTATTGCTTCCCCTATTAACTCCGACTCAGCACAGCAACCCAATAGTTACTCCTTACTCTTTCACCCACCTGTCTATGCCACAGGTCTGGAAACATCATCAGCAATCACACTATTGAGGCCAATCAAGCAGAATACTGATGCCTGTAGTTCACAGTTTAGGAGGGGGTCAAATGCAGTGGCCAATGAGAAGGATGGGG